GGACTAAATGGTAGTCGAGTCTGCAGTACTGCTTTTCCACTGAAGGTAGTCCCTCAAAACACAGAGTTCAGCCACATTGATAGAATGGTGTGGATAAGTTTATACTGCTTCTCTTTGTGATGGAATTCTTCTGAATGTTTCAGTCCACAATGCTATTTCTGGTGCCTTTCATGAACATTACATTTTAAAAGGAAAAACAAATGTTGCAGGACATCTGGCAGTAAGGTTGCAGGATATATATAAACTATATACTAGTCAAACAACAGTCTAAGATTATTATTAACAGCCATTTAAAAGAATTCTTTACTTAATGAATTATTCCTTTTCCCCCCTTAGGACCTGGGACGTACAATCCTGTAGTGAAGTCAGCTTCCAGTATTTCCCTATTTGTTTCCAGAGTGGAGCGTTTTAAGGACGTGAAAGAGATTACTCCCGGTCCAGGAGCTTATGAGGTTTGTTGATATGGCTGTGTTCTCGGTCACATACTGGGGCTGATTTTTCATCCTTGCCTTAGCTAGATTGCTTTTGTTGTGCTTGTAGTTTACTGGCAGTATTTAGGCATTTAACATGATTTGTAGGGACGGTCTATATTTAGCTATCTAAATGACAATTCCCAAATTGTGGGAACAGGAAGGAGGCCAGGTTTGAAAAATGTGACCAGTAATAAGCAGAGTAAATGACAATTTGTCGACATACCTACTGTATGTGCTTTAAATAGATGCTGGAGTAGAGGCTCACCTCAGACCTGTTATTCACTGCTGAGTCAGATGGGAGTAAATAAATATTGCTTCTTTGATTAGCCTTCGCTCCCTCTGTTGCTCAGTGTAATGAAATATAGTACACTTTCAGTGCCCGAATCTTTTCTTTGTGTTATACTTATGTATTCCAACATGAATTTAGCCATGAGCAAATTAAACATCTTTGATTGACGGCCTACTGAGGGAGGGGGCCTAGCTCTGTGGAGCAGAAAACTCGATGAAAGAGCAATGGAAGGGCAGCCTTCACCATATAACTAATTGCTACAATTGCCCTGACATGGCTCTCTCATCTCTGGGTGGCAATTATGTGCCAAATGCACTGCTACTTGGGATTAGGTCTGAGGAAACTCAGCCACATTAGCTGGTCTTCCCAGGCAATGAAATGGGAGGCAAGAGACTGAAGTGAAGATGTGGAGCAAGAAGGGGCAGGAGAAAGGCCTCTGTTAGTTCCCCTCTGGTCCCCTGACTAACTACTCTTTCTAGAGCAACAGTATCTGTAGAAAGCCTCTTCCCTTCCCCCTCCAGTTCTGCTCCACCCTTGGACCCTGTTGGCTTTCTACTCCATGGGGGAGAGGGTGAAAAAGAGATCCAGTTTATCTCATCATTGTTCCTCTGCCCTATGGGGGAATAGGTGCTGCCACAAGGAACCTTGCCTGATCCTTTCCTTACAACTTTTGGGGAGAAGGAAATGCAGTGTAATGATTGGGGGAAAGGAAAGATGGTTTTGCAGTAAAGGAAGTGTACTGTGAATTAGGAGTTCTGAGTTCAGTTCCCAGTTGTGGTACAGATTTTGTGTCAAGTATCAAAGGGGTAGCCGAGTTAGTCTGGATCTGTAAAAGCAGCAAAGAGTCCTGTGGCTCCTTATAGACTAACAGATGTATTGGAGCATAAGCTTTCGTGGGTGAATACCCACTTCTTCGGATGCATGTAGTGGAAATTTCCAGAGGCAGGTATAAATATGCAAGCAAGAGTGAGTCAGGCTAGAGATAACAAGGTTAGTTCAATCAGGGAGGATGAGGCCCTCTTCTAGCAGTTGAGGTGTGAACACCAAGGGAGGAGAAACTGCTTTTGTAGTTGGCTAGCCATTCACAGTCTTTGTTTAATCCTGAGCTGATGGTGTCAAATTTGCAGATGAACTGAAGCTCAGCAGTTTCTCTTTGAAGTCTGGTCCTGAAGTTTTTTTGCTGCAGGATGACTACCTTTAAATCTGCTATTGTGTGTCCAGGGAGGTTGAAGTGTTCTCCTACAAGTTTTTGTATATTGCCATTCCTAATATCTGATTTGTGTCCATTTATCCTTTTTTGTAGGGACTGTCCAGTTTGGCCGATGTACATAGCAGAGGGGCATTGCTGGCATATGATGGCGTATATTACATTGGTGGACGTGCAGGTGAATGAACCGGTGATGGTGTGGCTGATCTGGTTAGGTCCTGTGATGGTGTCGCTGGTGTAGATATGTGGGCAGAGTTGGCATCGAGGTTTGTTGTATGGATTGGTTCCTGAATTAGAGTTACTATGGTACGGTGTGTAGTTACTGGTGAGAATATGCTTCAGGTTGGCGGGTTGTCTGTGGGCGAGGACTGGCCTGTCACCCAAGGCCTGTGAAAGTGAGGGATCGTTGTCCAGGATGGGTTGTAGATCACTGATGATATGTTGGAAAGGTTTTAGCTGGGGACTATATGTGATGGCCAGTGGAGTTCTGTTGGTTTCTTTCTTGGGCTTGTCTTGCAGTAGGAGGCTTCTGGGTACACGTCTGGCTCTGTTGATCTGTTTCCTTATTTCCTCATGCGGATATCATAGTTTTGAGAATGCTTGGTGAAGATTTTGTAGGTGTTGGTCTCTGTCTGAGGGGTTGGCGCAGATATGGTTGTATCTCAGTGCTTGGCTGTAGACAATGGATCGTGTGGTGCGTCCGGCATGAAGGTAGGCATAGCGGTCGGTGGGTTTTCGGTATAGGGTGGTGTTAACGTAACTGTCACTTATTTGCACCGTGGTGTCTAGGAAGTGGACCTCCCGTGTAGATTGGTCCAGGTTGAGGTTGATGGTGGGGTGTGTGAAGTTTGGGCAAGTTATCAAATCTCTCTGTGCTTCAGATCCTTGTCCGTAAAATGAGAATAATACTTTCATACCTTATGGTGGTGTGGTGTTCAGATTCTCCATTGTGGCTATATATGTTCTGAGATAAATAGAGAACCTGGCATTTTGACAATGGCGGGAGTGGGATAATGGAGAGAGAGATTGGGGTAGTACAAAGAAGAAGAGGTGGTGAGATGGGGGTCACAGAGGATGAAGTAATTGGAAGGATGAAGGATGGAAAGATTGGGAAGAGAGCAAAAACATGGAAAACAGAGTAAGAGGGAAGAGAGACTTTATAGAAAAGGGAATGGCTTGACAAAGGGAAGAGATAAGAAAAGTTGAACAAATTCCTAAACAAGAAAAAAAATCATTGAAGGGGACAATTGAAGGTTAGGGAAGCAGAATACACATACACATACAGAATACGCATACAGTAACTCTATCAGTAATTGCATCAGTCAGGAGTCAATGGGGACTCTGTATCAGAGGGAATGTTTGGGAGACCTCTCTGTGGATTGGATGTCAGCATGAGTCCAATTCTTCTAAACATAGCTGAGGGACTAATTGGATTCAGTAGTGGGAAATGAAATTTGTTGGATTTTTTTTAAATACATGCTGCTGCAATGATGGAGCTATATTTTTGAATGATTTTGTCATTTCCAAGACTAAAGTAGTATTTTTGGTTGCGTTCATCAGTTTTTGCCTGCATCTGATGGGAAAAATGAGCATGTGTTGTGTACTTTCGCTTCTGCTTGATTTTATGCGTTATTCATCCATAGTCTGAAGATGCAGAGGGATTGGAGCGTTTTGGGGAAGTCAGCTGGGCCTTGGTTAGTCTTAATCCTGGGTTTAGTTATGGACAGGAACTGGTGTATCATATGACTGTATATTAGAAATCATTTAAAATTAATTAATTCATAGTGGAAAAGCATAATGGTAGAGTTCTGTGCTTTAGTTTGATATACATAATTTTAGTAAGCTTTAATTTTTCAGTTTTTAACAGTAAAGGACTCAGTGGTGTCCTTTTTAATGTCTGTTCTCCCCCTGTGTGTGTTGCAACTATATTAAAAACTATAAATGTTGTACTGTTGATTAACATATTGCTTTTACAGTGCAGCTGGTCAGACATCCAATACATATTTTGATGATGACAATTTTAACAATCAGAATTTTGTGGCTATAAAAGCACATATCATGATTAGGGTCCTATGCATGTTGTGGCAAAATAGGACAAATTTCCATAGCAATATACACTTATTCTATAGCTATTTCATTCCCATCTCACTCACACACCCATCTGCTTCCACCAACACAACTGACCCCTAGTTGAATCTACTCCTTGACATAAAATTCATAAATGATTATTTTCGCTAGTGATTTATTTCTGGATGGATGTTTTTAGTGTACTCTTTGGGCAGCCCATTGCCTCCCACCCTTGTGTTCCTGCAATGTTTTCCCAGTGGCATGACTCAGAATCGCCTTCCTCCATATTGCAGGGAAGGGAAGAGCTCCAGCTCCTCAGCTCCTTTGATCTCATGCTGTCATGCTTCATGGAACAGTGTATGGAAAATATGTTATAATTAACACCTCCTTGTAGTGGAGAGGTGCAAAGCAACAGGCTGTTGCAGTCAGGTCCCGGCAGGGCAGGTGGTCGAAAAAAGCAGTGTTTAATGCCTGGCCGCAGAAAAATGGTAAATTCTTCAGCAGAAAAACTGAATTCAGTGGCATCTTTTAAAAGTGCTATGTTTCATGGCTACAGCAATGCAGAGTCCACTGTGGTGAACTGGACAATCCAAACCTTTATTGTCTCTCCGCAGAGTCCATCAGGTGACACCTCATTGGTTTACATTCCATTATCAATTGCAAGTTTATTTCCACAACCATACTGGCTAGAAACATGCTTTTTTTCAATGTAAGCTGGGATCCTGGAGCACAATTCCACACAAAGGGGTGAATTTTTCAGTAAGTTCTGTGGTCGTGGTATCACACTATACACTGCTACAATACTCTGATCATGACGAGCCTAGAGATATTACTGAAGTTCTATTTATATTTGAAGTAATGTTTACCTAGTTTATTATACATTAGACTTCTCAAGTTACACTGCTTTGTTTACTACAAGAAAGTTGTGTGTGTTTATATAAACTGAAATACACAAGTAACTATGACCATGATGCTTATATTGCATGACTCATCATAAGTCCCTATGGATCCAGTAATATAGAGTGCTGTTCATTTATTTTCACTGCCATAATTGTGAAGCAGAATAAGTAAAGAATTATTTTTGCCACTGGACTTCCTGTTAGTCAGAAGTAGACTAAAATGAGCCTTCAAAGAGTTAAAAAGAATATATAACACAATTCTATTTTTTTTCCTTCCTAATATTTGATGATGAACTGTTAGGGCCCAATTCTGAAGCCTGTACCCATGTGAGTATGAGCTGTGACATCAGACCCTTATGCTCTAGAATATGGAAACTGTTTCAAGAAAGGTTAACGGGAATAAAGGTCCTTAGTCTGAATACAAAAAAAATTCTCTCTGCATACTGAAATAGTTTTATTTCAAACTGTACTTGGCGGGTGAGATTCTGTGCTGTGGCTCTAAGTCTAGATGCAACAA